TGACATGTTCCATTCCAGCTATAGCACGTGTCTTGACGGCTTCCCAATCTTTATCACTAAAGACTAGCACTGTATCATCAGCATATGATACAACTTTACCTTGAATATCAATCTGAGTTAAGCTCTTATTGTATAAATTAAATAGTATAGGTCCCAGAACAGTCCCTTGAGGCACTCCGATTTGTATATTTTCAGGGTTACTCACATTGTCTCTGACCTTTACCTTCTGTTGTCTGTGTGTCAAATAATTTTCAAAAACCTTCAACACGATGCCCCTCACTCCATTCTGTTCAAGAACATTTAAAAGCTTCTGATGTAGTACAAAGTTATACAATAATCATATCATTTACAATTATACCTACTCAAAAATAAAGACTAAAAACTATCAACAAGAGAGATTACATATTAAATTATACAATAATATAGTACAAAGTTATACATTTACAATAATACCTACTCAAAATAAAAACTATCAACAAGAGAGATTACATATTCTGATTTAGAAAATATTTTAACAGTGCTTTCTTTACGAACATAAAACTATGAGAGAAAATATCTACATTAACTATATTTGACAACTGATTACAAGTTTTTGATATTCTAAGGAGGGGAGCATTTCAATAGTAGTTGGTTGCTGCCTTGTTAAGAAAAAATGTATTAATATTTCTAGTGTTATAATTGGGACAATTAAATTGAAGAAAATTATATCAATGCAGTCTCTTTGACGATTAAGTATTCTGTGCATAAACATTATATCAGAAATTTGTCTTCGTGATTCTAGATTGATTAAATTTAAATTCGATAAAATTTTGTTTTCTCTTATTTGAGGATAATATTTTTTATGGCAATAAGAAATAAATTTATTCTGAACCGATTGTAACTTATCTATATATACTAAGTAAAAAGGATTCCAAATTATTCATCCAAACATGAGTACTTTATTAACGTAAGCCGTATATAAGGCTCTAATTGTATGAGGATTTTTAAATTCGTAACTTGTTCTTAAAATAAAGCCTAATGCTTTATTTCCTTTACTAGTGATATATATGCTCATCAAACAATAATTTGGAGTCGAGAAATATACCCAAGTCCTTTACTTTATCCACTGGTTGAAGTGTAGATTCATTAATGATGTAACTGTTATGTAAATAAGTGTTACTTTGAGTAAACTGTATATAACTACACTTAGATGCATTCAAAAACAAATTATGTTTTCTACAATAATCGCAAAATCTATCTAGATCTTATGTTATGTTGAGAATGGGGTGTTAATACACTGCGACCTAAAAGGTCTATTGTGCCCCCTTCTGTCGCCAATGCACTAAGGAAATGTCTCAATGCCTATAACGACCCTTCCAATCCTATTTGCTCAAGGAAGTGTAGGATTTGAAGTGGCTTCAAGTTAGGTAAATCTCCCTCTTCTATTTGATATCCTCCTAGATATAGTGCCCTTGGATTCTGGAGTGCTACACATTCAGTTAGGATGTGAATGGAGGTTTCGTCCTCCTCCTCACAGAATCTGCACTCACTATCCTCTACTACTCTCAGTTTACTTAGGTGTCCTTTTAGTCGGCAATGCCCGGTAAGGATCCTTGTTACAATACGTAGCCTATTCTTGCTCAGGGAGATGCAGGCTTCCGATCTTTTCTGGTTATATTCACCCAGAAGTATCTTGGCCTGTCTCAGCCCCAAGAGATTGTTCCAATTATCGGTTCTTCTACTGCCCAATTCTTTTTTAATCTCTCCTAATATTAAGTTACTGCTGAACGGCTCAGGTCCTACAAAGGGTGTTTGAGTCCCTTTCCTTGCAAGACTATCTGCTATCTCGTTACCCTGTACCCCGTTATTTTCCGGGACCCAAGTGAGAGTAATTCTATTTTTCTCGCCTAGCTCATTTAATTGTTCTAGGCATCTCCAGACCATTTTTGAGCTGATTACGTAAGAGCTCAGCGCTTTGATGGCTGTTTGACTATCGGACATTATGATAATATCTTGTCTATGATAGTTTCTCTCGATGTTGAACTGGATACACTTCTCGATGGCGTGAATTTCCGCCTGGAAGATGCTTGGGTATTTTCCCAAGCTTTTGGAGTGCTTGGTTCTCGGTCCATACACTCCTATTCCAGTTCCTTCTATGGTTTTGGAACCGTCCGTATACCACTGAATAGTACGGCTTTCGGTTGCAAGCGCGATGGATTCTTGGCTCCATTCTTTCTTGCAGCCCAGCTTTGTGGTTTTGAAGTTTTTCACAAAACTGTACTTCTTTAGCATTTCATCCTGGGACATGTGCCAGGTATCTTTAGTCCTGAAGCAAGTAGACTTTCGTCTGATTACTCCGTTCCTGATCATTCTGTATCCTGTCCTTTTTGCCACATTCTCTATCATCAAATGTAGAGGGGTGAGGTTTAAGATCACCTCCATTGCGGCTGTCGGACAGTTTCTGATTGCACCAGTAATACAAATACAGGCTAGTCTGTGTAATTTTGAGATATTAGCTCTCGTAGTAGCTAAACTAGTTCTGTTACTCCAGGCTATAGCCCCGTAAGTGATGATTGGTCTCACTATTGCAGTATGCATCCATCGCAGTATGTTTGGGTTACATCCCCATCGCTTACCTGCAATGTTTCTGCATACCATTGGGGCTTTTGTGGCCCTATTTACTACTTCCTTCTCATGTGTGTTCCAGAGAAGTTTGTTGTCCAGAGTTAGGCCTAGATATTTGACTTCATTTTTCCATTCTATATCTATCCCGTCTAATTTAACGGTTTTGAGATTAAGTTTTCTGTTTCTTGAAAAGGCTACTAGTGTTGTTTTTGTAGGGTTTATACTAAGTCCCACTTCACGGCACCATCTTTTGGTATGTTTTAGTCCTCGTTAGACTATATCACACAGGATATTACTAACTTGCCACTAGCAAATATGACTATGTCATCGGCATAACCTTGACAGGGTATGCCGAGGTCAGTCAATCTACATAGAAGTTCGTCTACGATTAGGCCCCACATTAGTGGGGATAGAACTCCTCCTTGTGGACATCCTCTGGTAGTGCAGATGGAGATGGTGTCCTGTCCTATCTGTGTCTCTGTATGCAAGTGCTCTTTTTACAGATTCGTGTGGCGTGTTGTCAAAAGCTCCTTCTATGTCTAGGAAGGCACACACGACCGTTTCTTTGTTTGTCAGTGCATCCTGGATTACGTCAGTCAACTGTACCAGGGCAGTTTCTGTAGATCTTCCTGCTCGGTACGCGTGTTGGCTGTGGTGGAGTGGCACCCTCTCCAGGACTTCCGTTCTGATATAATTATCTAGATCTTGCTGAAACAAAATCCTATCAAGTAAGCAAGTTATAGAATGATAAATTTTTAGATCGTCAGCGTACATGATAAATTTCGCAAATTTAAAGCAGTTACATATATTATTGACAAAGGTTAAAGAGTAACGGCCCAAGATGAGATCCTTGTGGTACCCCTGATGTAGGAATAACCAATATAGATTTGTATTTACCCAATACTACCTGTTAAGACCTATTTCTTACATAAGAGTCAAACTATCTTAGCAGATTTCCGTGTATGCCGACCTCAGCGAGCCTCGATATTAGGATAGAATGGTCAATTATATCAAAAGTCTTACTGAAGTCGGTCACAGAATCTACCAACTTTTCGTCATTTAAACTTTTCAATATGTATTCAACATAAACAAATAAATTAGTTTCAACCATGTTGTTCAATGTTAAGAATATTCTTGACATCACAAAATAGAAAATTAAAGTTTCAAATAGTTTACTTAGGACCGATTCCACCGTTGTGTTAAACGAAGTTTAAAATGACATTTTTACATTAATGTCATTTTAATCTCCGTTTAACACAACGGTGGAATCGGCCCTTAATAAGTTAAGTTTTGATATGGGTCTAAAATTATTCACCTTTTTATTTCCTGATTTGTGGATTGGAACAACGAAAGCCGTTTTCCATTTATCAGGAAACTGTCCTTTGGTTAAAGATTTATTAAATAAGAAATATAAAGGGTCAATGAGAGAATTTTTACACTTTTTATTAATGCATGTAGGAATCTCGTCTGGACCAGGACCTTTATCAGGCAAATTGTCTATTTTTAATGAAATAATTTCACGAGGTATTTTATATTGGGTAATATTCAGAAGAGCAGAAAAATCTCTAGGACCACTTGGCACAAAAACAGACGTAAAGAAATCAGAAAAGGCGTTACAGATTTCCTGTGGGTCTGTAATTAGACCTGTATCGGTTATGAGATTATCGGGTAAAATGGGGGATTTTTTTGTTTTTAACATATTAAAAAAAAAAATACTTAAGATTTTCAGTAATATTAGATTCAACCTGATTTAAATATTCTTTGTAATTCTTGTTTATCAAAAATTTTGATCTACCACGTCGTTTAAATAAATTGGAATTGGGGGGTTTCAATTAATTTAAATCAAAATTAAATAAAGTAACAATAATTAATATATTTCAATTATTAATAAATAATTGAAATAAATTATGATTAAATTTTATGTATATATACGAATATACTTGTAAATCAGATACATTTAAAATTTTGATATACAGTGCTGGCAAGATCAAACCGTCAGTCCTGCTTTGCATATGTTGGAGTAAATAGTAAATGGTGCTTGCATATGCAGGAAAAGAAGAGACACAGTCAGTATTGCCAGAAAAAGGTCGAGTCACCAGTACTTATATAACTGGCAACGTTATTTCTTAAAAAAGTTGTTTATTTTAGTGACTTCTATATACTGTTTATTAACTTAGGATACAGCCTATATATTTCATAGAATTAATTACCAATGCCAAATAAGTTTTAACTTCTAACGTGTGGTCTTAATCACACTCTTTTTTCTACGGTTTTTTCAAAACATAAACATAGGTTCATGTGCCTTTGTAGCCTTAACCTTATACTTTATTTTTTAATAGTTTGTATGAATTATGCAGTGTTATCCCCAATATCCTGACTAAAAACTTTTTTTAAAGGTATTTGCGTGGACTACACCCTTAATGGCCGTCGTTTGCGTCAACGCCCAGAAAAGCCCCCGGAAAAAGATAAAATATCTAACCCTCCCACTCCCAAGCCCAGTCCTGTAAAACAGGAACCCGACATTAACTTAGACGATTTAAAAAGTTCTGTGAATATTTATTTTGGCGCTGCCAATCGCATTGCAGCAGGAGAACGTTTCTACGTAAAAGCCAAACGCGTGGGACCCAGCGGCAAAATGGACTACCTTATTGAGTGGGAGGGGCCAAGCAATGGAATGACCTGATGGGCCAATGAGCTGTTTCAACGATGTGAAGTAATTAGTTGGTTCGGTTTGTTATTGGTCATTTTATGTATTTTGACTGTTAAGGTGGGAGTGAGTCTACTGCTCAAAAATGTACAACAATAGATCTGTATCGTAGGGTTTGACCCTCAGTTACCTAAATATTTGTATTGTTCCTTATGTTACGTTTTTTTTTGTGAAGTTTTATAGTTTTTTATTAGGTTTTCTTTATTTTTTTTATTTGAAAGTATACATTAATATTTCTATGAAAACTGAACATTTAGTTCAAGCATTTAAATTTCTTGAGGTATTGTATGAATTTTTTATGTTGGTGTCTAGTATTTTCATTTTGACCTTATTTAATCTATACTTGGAAGACTAAAACAAAGCTAAGCTAAGCTCATTTAAATTTAAGATCTGATTGAAATTCCTCTATATTGTTGACACTTGTACGGGGTTTTTTTTTTTTTTTTTTTCATTTGATGTAGACCAAGATGTAGATGTTTTTGGATAATTAAAATGAACAGAAAGTGGTCAGAAATCAGGACATTTTAATAAACTTCATTAAAAATCATTGAAATTTTGAATGTTATTATATTATTTTTTCTTATCTAATGAAGATAATTTTGCAAATATTTATAAAATCAAACTGCATTAAACTACAATAAAATCGGGACAGAGGCAGAGGTCGAATGAGGTATTTTTACCTAGATTATAACCCCCGAGTTTTACATAGCTACTATCTACGTAGCCTATACAGAGGCTAACCAAAAATACAAAACCGGTTTAACGAAATCTTTACATTGTTATTAAAAAAAAGATATTTTTTGTAACAATTCTAGTTTTATTGTTATCAGATGACATTCTTTGGTCGCCGTAAAGTAATAAAGTGTAGTTTATTTCGTTATAGAGTAGGCATAAAAGTGGCATATCAGTGATAATGGTTTACTCAACTGCTGAGAGGGTGCAAATAATTTCACTTTGTTTGCGAACAATGGATGTGCTAATAGAGTTGCCCAACTTTTTAACAATCCAAATCGACAAGTCCATCGCAAGTATATTTTGGGAAACAAGGTCAGTAACTAACAAATAACGTGAAATGTAAAATGCTGTAGTAAATGGTACAGAGGTGGCGATTTTAGGGCATGTTGTTCAAGAACCCACATTGAGCACAAGACAGTTGGCGATAACATCTGATATTAAGAGAAGTAGCATTTAGAAGCCATTGAAAAAACACCTATCATCCGTAAAAAATACATCTGGTACAAGAACTTAACTAAGACGATTTTGATAGGCGATTACAATTTTGTGTAATTATGACTTAATGAGCAGTAAATAATCAGCAATTTCTTTTCAACTTGTGTTTTTCTGACGAATACACTTTTTCCTAAATAGTACGGTAAATCGTCACAACTGTCATTATTGGTCCGATTCAAATCCTAGAATATTTCATGAACTGCATAAGCAACATCCGGAAAAACTGGCCACTTAAAACTTAAAATTTATGTCACCCAGCCATCATTACTGGAAAATCTGCGACAACGGATAATTGATGACACTAGCAATTTAAAACTCGGGGGTTATAATCTAGGTAAAAATACCTTCAAAATAAGATTTTAGGAGAAAGTTTCACCCCCGTTAAAGGGTTTCCGTTCAGCAGGTGAAACTGGCAAAAAAATATTTCACCCTAAAATCAAAAATTGACGGGTCTGAGCGTTTTTTCGTAAATGACCTGAGGTGCCTAAAATTGGCTCTGTTTTGTTTTCAAATGGCCAGCCTGTATATATACAATACTCCATTATGTGTATATTAATAAATTATCAAAAATCTTCTAAATTCATGATAGTTTTATATTCTGTTTTATATTCTACTTATTTCATTGGTACTCTAGCACCGCAGCACCACTGAATACCAGTGATGGCTGCAGCGAGTATATAGGATTGCCAGATATCCCGATTTAGGTGGGACCCTCAAGCATACCGATTGTTGATACTCCCGTCTGCCGCTTCAATCCTCAAAACTCCAGCAATTCGACATTGGACAATACCTTTTTTTTTTTTTTTTCAAGAAAATTTTCATAAAGTCAACGCATTAAAATGGCTTTTAAAAACCGGTGGTGACCCTAAGTGTTGTGTGGATGGAGGGGAAGGAGCTCTTATTTCCCGTATAGAGGCCGTGCACCCAAAGCAATTTTTGAGTTCCGGCGCCTATGGCTGGTTTGTTGTTAGGAAATAAAGCTGAAGTCTGAAGGAATTCATTTTCAGCAAGGATAATGCCACATTTGAATTAAAATATATTTGGGACATATTTGTGTTGTTTACTGTTACATAATTTCTACAAGTTTACTAAGATATTACCAATAGTATTCGTAAATAAAGGCCACCGCCATTTTCCCCTTTTATACCAATCTTGTAATTAGCTACACCATTATTATGCATATCGACATCTCCATATATAGGGATTTTGTTGAGATATTACAAATGGTTGTGTTATGTTCATTGCTCGTTTTTCAATTCTATTGTACCTTTTTTTTTGTTTTATAGGCTCGACATGGTAATGTGTACTATCAACGTGACAACATAATTGTCACACCATCTGGCCAAAGAAATAAAACAGCTATCCTCGTTCTCTATCTTTTTTTATTATTATTTTGGATGACTGTAATGGAGCTATCTTCTCGAATGCTTACCTGCTCACCTTGTTCGTGTTCAATTTCCGTAACTGCCTTGTCTAATGCCAGTTACAACTCCTTTTGTGTAAATATTTTCGGAGTTTTTTACCAGAAAAGTCCACAACAGTATTTTTGTAATTGTTAATTGAAGAATGCTCTAATACCATCCGAATGTCTAACGAAGAACAATACGACAAGTCTAGATAAGTATAAGAAACTGAATCATGTTGTTTACGTATTAGGCCAACGTATCACTTTACGGCTAGAAAGGTAAATAAGTTCAAATAAAGAAAACTTTTATTTCGGCCTTTTTTAAGTGTCTTATAAAAAATAATAGCAGTTAATTAAAGAGGTAAGTGCATGAGGGAGTTATGTGACAAAAAGTTACTTCTGTGATAGTTGGACTTAAAGTTTAAAACCTGGAACTTTTTTAAGATATGCGTTTTTTATCCAAATAATGTTAATGTTCTCTTAAATGTTGTAAAATTCTTTCAATGGGGTGATACACAACAATACTTGCATATTAAAATTTAAAAATTGATTATTTGTACATAACACCTTCATCCAAAAGAATATTTTTATTTTTTACATGTCAAAAGGAGGTATGTACACTTACCCCCTTTATGCCTCTGTAAAGTTAGATATTTTTATCTACGTTATGGGACTTGTACATTAAATATCTGTTTCATATTGAAAGGTTAGGAAAAAACGACAGTAATGTTCATCAAATATCAAAATAGGATATGATAGGACGTTGGTAACAAAAACCACCTTATAAAAGTTCACAATGTTTATTACAGTCAGTTAACAGTTATGCAAACACACTCATTAGGCAGCTTGCTCATTTATAACTTGTTCATAGAACCATTTATGTTGATCGGGAACAAAACATAACTTCCTTTAAGTTTTGGATTTTTTTGTTGGACAATGATCCAGTATTCCTGAAAAGCCTCGGAATACTGAAATCTTTTGGGAGAAATGGTGAAGAACGAGCATCTTTGTGAAGGACAACCATTTTAAACGGCGTGTAGGGGTCATAGGTTTGCTTGAAAAGGTATGATCCAAAAGATTCTGTTCTGATCCATTTGATCCCATCTCTGAAACGTACCTTTTCTTTTAGGATATCTTTTTTCTTGTTAAAAATCTTCATTCGTTTGGATAGATCCTAATATGGCCTCTTGACGCCATTACAGCAAAAGAAAAAGTCACTTTGTATTGAAATCTCAGAGAAAGACACATTTGTATCAACACCAAATAACTAGTTGCAAACTACTTATAGTTTTTGAGAGTTGACTGGGGCATGAAGGAGGTATTATGCACACATTTTGTTTTCAACTTGTTTCAATATGGTTATTTCTAGTGTATAAAGGTGGTATGATCAATATTTTGACACACACATATATTTTTATACTAAACATTTGATTTACTTACCAGTGCATAAAGGAGTATGTGTAGTGTTTAAGTAATATAACTCCTTCATGCACAAGAAACAATTTTGTTTTACTATTTTTTTGAATGCATAGAAGAGGTACGTGTGCTTTATGGTTACATACCTCATTCATTCACCAGAAAAACGCTTGTTACTTGTGGAGACTGGACGTATGTTCTTGTTACATATACTCTTCATGTCCAAAGACATCACATTTTGTGAATACATACCTCCTTCATGACCCCAGTTTCTCGGTAAATAAAACCTCTACATTCCCAGAGTCTGCGTCAAAAAACAATCTAACACATAACACCTTCATTCCCGCGGACATCTGAAATTTTTGTGTTATATAACCCCTTCATGCACTCACCTCTTCATTTATAATATATAATATTGATTTGAAAAGTATCTCTCTCATAAAAGAAAATATTTGGCCGTTTTCAAGTAAACACAATTTAAATTAGTTATTTAGAAAATATGTCTAGTATTTTTTCGTATTTTTATTTAACAATGTTATTTCACTAAAAAAACAAATATATCTTACAAAAAAAATGTTAATGACCCAAAAAAATAAAAACTATAGTGTTGCGTATACGCAACGGTGGTAGGTAATGAGTTAATTTATTCTACCCTCATAGGTTCCAATTCAAAATCAGACGCTCCACTGAATTCATCCACATTGTCGTCGATGTCCGTGCCGGTTATATGTTCATAAAATGGCATGCATTCGATCAGAATTATGTGAGACGCAGATTTTTTGTCCTCTATCTTTGGATTTTATATTTTTTTTCCTTCAAGCCACAGTGGCATATGCAAGTGTTTAAATAATGCCGGACAACCCATTTGTTTTTCTGATATCTATTTCAGCATAAGTTTTGTCTTCAAAATTTGTTTTTCAGAAAAATTGAAAATGGTTTTTTTATCAAGAAGTACCTTACGTATTTTTAAACATCTAACTTTTTTATTCTCAACACCCATTTTTTTATTTATTATCTTAATACACGATTTACCTGACTAAAGCTTGGGCTTTCTTTTTCTATCCAATAGCTTTTGTTATTCGAAGACTTCTTTGATATATCCATTCATATTGTATCACAAAAATATTCGTTTTCCTATTTTTAATACTTCACGCTCACACTCATAGAGAACCAACTAACGAACTGTCACCAACTCTCTTCCCTATTATGCAGAAAGAAACCAAGCCGCTTGGATTGCTTCTGCAGGCAGGTCTTGCTTAACAAATTTAGTCGGCTGGTTCATTGACTAACAAATAACGCTAGGTACCAGAATGTGGCCCGGATCTTTTTAGCAGTAAGGTTACGGTTCTGCAAAAGTCTAAAAATCTCAAATTTGTGGGTTACTTCCGTCCAATTAGACATCAAGAAGGACAAACGGTCCTCATATATGCAATCAAGAATACATGCTCTAATAACATTACTACTACGCCGACCCTATCGGAAAGACGGCAACATAGTATTTCGGTCTTCCGTTAGAAATACATTGCCTATACCTGGCCATACTGCATTCTCATTGTGTCCCGAACTATAGTTTTAACACACTTTGCAATATAAAATATTAAAAAAAGGAAATTTGCAAATGAACATTGAAAAAATTAAGAATGTCGGGGCCGATAGTTGTTTTTCTTTTTCAAACGTCAGTTTGGACTTAATTTGGAGCAGTGCATACTTATCACGGACGTTTCACGTATCTGTCTTAGTTATGGCTTACTTTAGAAACATTTTGCTGATCACACTTTATTTATTTATTTGAAGGTCCAATATTTATTCAGACTATTGTATAATTTCGTAAATAAATAATTCGAAGCGTCAAAATGTAGATATAGAAATTTGGTTGTTTCTGTAAAATGTTCAATTTTCGTAGATCTGATATACAGAATTGTGATTTTTTGTAGATATTATTGCATTACATTAAAAACTGAATGATTAGAACGCAATCTTCCAATGTATTTGTTTTTAAATTGTAGATATTTATGCCCTTTTTTATTATTTTCTTGATAAAAGGCAGTTCATTTTTATTTTAATGGAAGATAATTTAAATAATCAAGTTACTAACCTGTTCTAACCACAATCTTGTGTTATTTCTAACATTCCTTCTAAATCTAGTCACTTAACACTCGATTTTTTTTTAATTCAAGACTTATCTATAATAGATAAAATCTGTGATAGCCTAGATTTTTAAATTTTTCGTTTTCGACTATATCTTCTTTTTAATGCCACCAGAGCATATCAAATCAACATATTTTTATATTAGTTTTAAGGTTGAGAAAAAAATATATATTTTTGTTTTAAATGAGGAGATTTTAACATTTTCATAAATAGTAAGTTGTTTAAATTAAAAGTAAAACTTAATTTCACATTGTAATTAAGTTTGGTCACAAACGTAAAGAAACTATATCTATAAATGCTATGAAACTTCCCAAAAAAAAACGTAAAGAAAAAGTGGCTTCTAAACAAACCTAATTTTTCTACAATAACGCAGATATTCATAAACTTTTGTACTTTTATTAATATCTATACTGCCAGAACGATAATATTGAGTCACTGCCATTTTATTGTTGATTTTTATTTAAGAAAAAGTCTGTCGATATCTGCAAAAGACCTTGACAAGGAGTGCTTCAAATATGTTTTACTTAGACTTGTTGCATGATTTTTTGATCAGTCTACAGGGTAGCCAATTAATTTTTCTGAACATCTAGAAAAATGGCTAATAAGATGTCTACATTTCTGAAATAATTAACTATACAGGATGAATCATGAATGCAGGACAAACATTTTCTTCAACATTCCTGGATCCCACATCACTAGTCTTGGTGATTAATATACTTTAATAGTAATTACCTATTTATTTTTACTTCTAGGTGGCTAATAGGAAGAATTAAAATATTTTAAATTAGATAATTTTTCTACTTAAATAATCCAAAAAAAAAAACAGCTGACAATATTTTAATTTTTTTTATCTAATTTTGATTTTGTTTCTTTTTAATTATTGGCAATTTTAAATATATGTATTATGGGTATTTTAATTGTTCAGAAAATAATTTGATTAATATTTAAGGCACATAGAATAATAGTGGTCTGACTCCACTTTTTTTCATATAACTGCCCTCGATTTAAAATGAGTTGTATAATATGTATCGTTCAGTATAAAGTTGGTCTATCCCCATATTTTACTTTTTGACTGAAAGGGGTACTCATTACATAATAGTTTTTCAAAACAGCCATATATGGAGATGGACCACTGTTATTCTATGTGCCTCATTTGTTACTAATTTCTGGGCGTGTTATTCCATTTTAAATGTGATAAAAGTTCAATAAACCAGTTAAATAATAATAATAATCTCCCTACAATTCACCCCCTTACAAGTGAACCTTAGAAAGGAGAACATTGTGAGAGGTTATTATCTGCCACTGCACTTTGGGACTTACATATGGTTTATGTCAGGTAACTGAATACTACAATTAAATGTATTCAAAGTATTGAATATAGGTATTCAGATACTTTAAATTTGGAAACAAAATACCCATAAAAGTCTATAGAGCGTCAGATAATGACAGATTTTGCTTTCTCTTTTCTGGGATTTTACCACTGAAAATTTAGCGACTGGACGTGTACTGGGTACATGGAAGATTAATTTTCCTTTTGCAGTAAAAATAGGTTTTTTTGTAATCTCTCGTTTATGGCATTTTAACGCATTAACATATATAACAATCTAATAGTGAAAAATCAAAGCCATAAGGTTTGCAGTACTTAAAAGGTTTAAATAAGGATGCGATCTTGTAAAAGAATACTCTGTTGCTGATGCATTTTCTCGCTTATGGCAATCGACAGAATGAAATTTGATATCGTTAGGAACCCGAAAAAGACTCCCATAAGTTGTTGAGGTAAGAATTTTTTTTTTTTTTTTCGTTTTCCGGCAAACTTACTCATTTATGGCATTTAAGTTTGATGATGGATAAACATAAAAAAATTCCCGTAAGCTCTGCATGTACCTTAAGAAAAGCAATAAGTTGTAAAGTTGTAGGAATTTTTTTTCAGTTTTTCGTTGTTGGGAATTGGCATGTAATAAGAAAAATTGATTTTAAGAGTAGGTAAAAAAAGCCATAAATCGGAAACATGATTCAACGTTTTATATAAATAAATACATACAATTATTTGAAAATGCTGCTGCGAGAAAATTGAAAATAATATGCTCATTTCTTCTTTTATGGGATTTGCCATATACATTGCAAACTTTGTTCTTAAGACTATATAAAAAAAGCCATAAACTGGAGGCATGGTAATATTAAATATAAATAATTTTTTATAAAACCGATTTAAAATCACTTCATCATTTGGCAACATTGACGTTCGTGTTCCCTGTTTATATTTTAATTCATATCAATTATAATTCGAATTTTTTCTTAATTGTGAGCTTTAAATTTGTTTATTTCTTATAATATGTGATAGTATTTATATTAAAAATGAAATTTGCGAAAAAGCCCCCAGCAAATTGCAATCTATATTGTGTTAATGTCAAAATCTAAACTGAAATTTTCATTATTTTCCAAGCGTAAGTCGTAAAATTTTGTTTCTTACGATAAATTCACATTATTGAGATTTTGCAAAATTTTGTCTAAAATCAAACTGCTTTCTGTATTGTAACAGTTTTATTACCGTTTATATGTATACAAAGTACTATACCATTCACTTCATAAGATGTCTACAAGGATAGTAAGATTTTTAATTAAGTTTATCAATAATAAACGTTAGGTACCTGAAATTTTCTTTAAATCACATAAAATATGTCCTTTGTTTTAGCAAAAAAATATTTCTAGATGTTTGTGTAGCAACCACGTAGGTGAAGATTTCCAACAGATGAGTCATAAACACATGATAAGTATTATATTAATGACGAAAGCAAACCTTATGGATTTGGTTTTTCACGATTAGATTGTTATATGTATATGTAAATGTGTTAAAATGCCATAAACGAGAGAAAAAAAAACTATTTTTTCTGCAAAAGGAAATAGTATATTACATTACGAGTGTGGAAAATCACTTTTCACACAAGTGATATTTTTCCTACGACCACAAAAAAATGTAAAACCAAGGTTATTATTACTATAATTAAAATTTATTTAAAAAAATAATCAACAATAATCGTATTTATTCAATTTTCATATTTTCTAAACTAAAAATAAAAAAAAAAATTCTGCCCCGCCAGGATTCGAACGCAGTCGAAAAATGGCAAAGTTGATAAGTTCTACGTCCTAACCACCTGAGCTAATAGCCCTTGTGTCAATTGAATGATCTAATTGGTTATGTATTTAACCAGAATAAAGAGCAAACATTATTTTAAAATTATTTTAATAATAATTGTTTAAAGATAAATATCTAGGATCTAATTTACAACGATTTCAATAATTTAACAATCATATCGATTTTAGTATTAATATGGACATTACATAGATCAAAATAGAAATTAGGTGTTTGACATTTTGTGACAACTACTGCGGAAAGTAAATTCTTATTTATATGCGTGTGATATAGGGCACTTTCCATAGGACTATATAGTGTGATATGTGTCACTTTCCTAAGTGGTCGTAGGAAAATTAATTTTCCATACGCCTAGCACACGTCCGGTCGCTAAATTTTAATTTTTTGAGCTTACACTTATATAATTTTCAGTGGTTAAAATCACAGAAAAGAGAAAATCAGTCGGCAAAATCTGTCATTATCTGACTGTCTAAATAAGTAATAAAAGATAAAAAGCGTTTAGTCTCACTGCATTAAGATTTTGTTGGTATGCAAATGATTATACATTTTCTTCTTTATTAGAAATTTCATTTAAAATTGTGGAATGTTTTATTTAAAAATTAAAAAAATATATTTAATCCTGTATAAAATTGAAACTATACATCAAGTTTAACTGAAAAATACTTGGTGTACCCTGAATCGACAGACTTTTGGTTGTTATTAAAATTTCTCAGCTTTCGAGTTTGAGTATGAATGTACTGATTGTAATTAATTTATTTAAATAAATTCATAATGTTAAACAATTTGTTGAATAATTTTTTGAGGTATAATTGCTGGATGGGTCATGGTTAATTATTTATTCTTAACTCATTACTGACTTTAGTTTCTTAAAGATAATTTAATATAATCTAATATCTGATTAAAAAGAAATAATATAAAAATACACATATAATTACATATTTTTGTAATTGAAATACAATTAAAAACAGAAATCTCAAATCGATAATAATTTAAGAAATAATTATTTTACCACGACTTTAGTGTATAGTAGTTAGAACATTATTATACAAGGTGTCTCATTATATAAAGTAAGGCATTTGTTTCCGTAGCTTTATTTTAAAAATGCAAGGATTATCGATATTCAGTATTTTAGTTTTGTATTCTTTGATATCAACTATTTGTGATAAAAAAATACTGTGGAATGTAGCTATATTTTTACTTCATTGAAAGATTAACTTTAAAATTAGGTATTCCAAAAACGATAAATTTTAAATATTTCGGGAAAACAGCAGAGTTTCAATGGCACAATGACCTTCAAAATATATATAAGTATCATCTTTCGATCTCGTATTCTAGAAAATGACGTCCCTTTAGGTGTTTTTCAAATTTCGGAATAAAGAGTAGTCAGACAAATCTAAATCCAGACTACAATAAATAATTCTCGAACTCAAAGAATGGTGTACATTCTTTCTAGGTAGGACAGGTTAGACTTTAGTAGCTTTGTGAATTCAAGCGCTATCCAAAAACGGAGGACATTTTTGTGGTGCAAACCAGAACTTTTTTCGTCAATAGCTCTACGTGATATTGGAGGTAACTGCAATTGTATTGTTTTTGGCATGTATTCATCATGAATAATTCCAACTCGGTCTAAAAAGACGGTGCTTCCTAGGTGAAGATTGTGTTTGGACATATTTTAGAATCTGACATGGACTCTCATTTTGTTCTGCATCTCAGTAATGTGCCCAAGTATCATCGACTGTCACTATCTTAGAGAAAAAGTAAGGGTCAGTAACCAAGATTTATTTGTTGCAAAACTCTTTATAAAACATAAAATAATAAATTACAATCAAATTTGACACATAAATAGAAAAATGTTGAACGTTACTAGTCTACTATTTGTTTCTATCAGGTTGGGTAGAATTTTTTCTAGTGTCTTAAGTATCCATATCAAGTTACATAAGTGATTTTGTCCACCAGAACTTATGTTAAACCTTTAGGATTGAGTCAATTTAGGAATTATTCTATCTATCTGAATATAGCTGAAGTCAAATCCCACTAGTACTAAAATTAGTCATACTGAACCCATATTAGTTTGTTATACCATCAAATTAATACACAAGGATTCTCTAAAGTCGGAACTACAGCTTATGGAGTTCTCTTTTAAGCAGAGTAAAAAAAAGATCGCAAATGCTCACAAATATAAGCAGATGCTCTCTTCTCCTTCTCGACCTCGACACTCCTTCCATATGTCACAGAAACCTCATTGAGGGTTGCTTGACTACCGCTCATGGTATACAATATTTTGAGTCATACTTCTATTACAGTTATTGCGGCCTAAAAGACTGACTGCTCTTTTAGAATAACGATTTTCCACGGTAAGTTCCGTTTCGGTGGGTACTGTTTAGCATCTTTGAACAGAGTATCTCGGATGCGAAGCCCGGCAAAGAACAACGAATTACGTGAGAATTCTGTGACTTTGAAACTTTAAATGTACATCGCTTGGTGTTGTCAATTTTAATTATATTCAATTATTTTGACTACAAACATTGGGCGCGTTCAGCCGACGCAACAGTTGAGTATGGTAACTTGTTGGGTCTTCTGAACGTCACTTGTTGAGTTTTGGTTAGTTTCAACCGTTGCTCAACATCGGCACCAGGAAAATTCTGTGGTGACTTTTGTAAATGAAGTATTGTACTCAGTGTTGCAAACTAAAGGAATTTTTAATTTAGTGATTTCTAGTGTTTTTTTTATTGATTTTAAACCACTCTAGGAGGATGAAGAACACGATTTTTGTTGTTTTTAAAATTCTAAAGTTAAACCATGATGAAAAATGTCCATTATGACTCATTATGACTTAGTATATTTTTACATGGTCTTAATTTGTGACCGAAAAAGAGTTTATTTATATCATCACTAGATGTCACCACGTGTATGTGTATTGTCTAACCGCTGAACCAAGTTATACCTTTCGGATACTTTTAATTGTTGACTTCCACCATATCAGAAACATGTTTTCGGTTTTAATCAACTGTTGCGTCGGTTAAACGCGCCCATTGTTACCTTGTAAATATGTTCTAGTTGCCAGGGTTGGTTTAAGCAGTAAATAGTTTAATTCAGTAGGTAGCACTTCTTGTATGGTAGAATAATTTGACTAAAAGTTATTGATTTTTAAACATACTGGTATGCGTTATGAAAATAAGGTTAATGAGATTTAAAAGAAAAGCCACAAGATTTGTTTTATTCAATAAAAATGTTATGCACTTCTAATGACAGAAAAATGTAATGAAAATGGCGACTTGAGTAATTATTTGAAGTTATAATTTTATATTTGAAGACTTATGGAATGAAAATGATTTTATATCATTTAAATGAAGCTGTTTAAAAAACAATGGCATTTATTCTCACCAAAACAGACTAGCTCCACTATCTCGAGTTTGACATATGACGTAAAAGTGTAATGCAAAGGAGCGGACACTTTAACATCGTCATATCATCTCCTCTTTATTCTATCTCAATGGTCTTATTCAATTGAAATAATTGCCAAGTCACTTAATCTTTCTTGTCCCTGTGTGTTTCTTAAGGTAGTTCACTCGCAAAATGGCTTTTCTTAAGAATTCAATAAAATTGAAATATAAGGTTAATGAGTGTCTTCTACGTAACTAAAAAAATTAAAAACACTGAATTTTTTGAACGTCTTGGTAAAGATATAGATTTTTAAAATAAAAATATTTTTAAAGCAGTCGACGCCTAGTTGCGTACAATGGTTACAACTTGGCAACATTGTAATCGCTACACTTAACGCGCGGTAACTGAATTACACTCAATCAGCTAAGAGGTTGTTATAACCTCGCAACGTGTTCTTGAAAAATTAATTCGTCCACTGTATTTGAGAACTGAAATTGACTGTTCTGTTTGAACCAAAACAAACCCTTAAAATTAGTATGAGGAAGTCACACATTTCTATAGCCCACCATTCATATATTTGCTACGTTGCCGGATGGATTTTATTTGAAATTATAACGTATCTGCATACATAAGCTTACATGTGTTGAGTACAGTACCTTACAAAAATAACATATTTTAGCATTGAGAATCTCGAACTTTTGGTATTCACTATTAGGCGACAGTTTTATGTACGACCATCGCGAGTGAACTACCTTAAGTAGGTATGAACGTTTTAAACCAGAAAAAGATCGTTCTACTGAAGCGCTACTAGCTGGTATCGTTACAATTAGCTTGGATAAAGTAACAAGTTGCGGAACAACGTGACACATACTATTCTTTTAACAACATTTGAACTTGGTTAAAAAAGTAAATAATTATGTTCGTTAACTCTTCAGCAGTACGACTGGAGCTTACATTAACAAACCCGACGAAATGGTCAACAATTTCGTGATATTGGTGAAAATATAATAAAATTTCGCAAAGTTGTTCCTTTTCGCTAACGTCTGGGGTTTCATCAATCATAACGGCAACATAGTCTTTTTACTCTATTTCTATATGAATTATATTTTTACAGCAGCTATACTATTAAATCATGTATTCGGTTAGATAATCCACTGAACCCGGCCCTGGTTTTGTTTTGGTCAGCTGATTGTTGTAAATGGTAATTCAAATTGCAGTCATAATTTGCAAATAATTTTCCCTCGGTTTGCAGATTCTACCGATTCAATATGTCGACGAGCCTGTGGATCCAAGGGTCCCAGGTTCGAATCCTACCGTTGGCCGGGATTTTTTTATTTTATTTAATTATTTAAAATTAATTCTGATGCCTTGGTAGGATTCTCCACTCGACCATTCACTGTTGGGCTCTGTTCCTAAAGTGGCGCAAGGAAACAGTAACAAGGCCTGTCTGTAGGGGTGTAGGAGTATTAGAGTACTAATACTCCTGCACTATGAAGTATTAGACTACTAGTACAATCCATAAACTAGATAGAACACTAGGCTAATGACCTTAGATGTTTAATCCGTAAACAAAAAAAAAATATATGTCGACGAAAAAGCAGCTCTTGTTTTGCCAAGTAACATGTAATATCAATAAGTCTACGCATTACATTTCGATTCCTAATTTCTATCTACTTTGGCGGCCGGGTCAGGTCGACTCGGATCGACGCCACAAGCAGTGCTTTTCTGCGCCATATGAATTTTTATTACTCAGCTGAAATTGCTTTCCTTATAATATTTTATTTTATTATTATGAGTTATAAGAGGACGAAGACAGATAAGTGGTTGGTCTTTTTTTATAGTTAATTAAAAAAAAAATATGTGTATTTTACTGGTAATTTTTCTAGGGTAGGCGATGCTTTTATGCTTCTACTGTATGCGCGCCACTGGCCACTAGGTTCCACAATGGAGGAGATATTACTCCAGCCTGTGGGCATACCCTATGGATATTCACCTGCATGGTTACACTGAGCATTTGCGCATGTACTTGCCGTCCGCGTAACATGTCTTCTAGCTATCAGCAGATGGTGTATTCTATTCTATGTTTACGAGCGGCAGCTACCATTTATTTAAAGGAGGTATTTTCAAAAGCTCCTTCTATGAAATGCTCCTATCACTATTTCTTGGCTACTGAGTCCCCCTCTATCTTGGTTACAAGACGATGCAGAGCCGATTTACAAGATTTTCTTAATTGATAGGCATGTTGGTTTGTATGAAATGGCCTCTCTATCAGAGTGGTTTGCTGGACATGCTGATCAATCAGTTTTTCCAATTCTTTCAATAGAAATGACGTCAGTTATTTGTCTTTAGGCATTTACCACGGCATATGTTGGACGCCCTAATTTAGTCATAAAAACCACTCTGCTTTGTTTCCAGTTGGTACATGTTTATCCACCAAACTTGCCCTGTAGAACCTACAAATTTGCGGGGCCAGTGTTTCTATTGCCTCTTGCAGAAGCACAGGCAATACCTCATCTGGTCCCGGTGATTTGTAGTGAGTTCCAGTTCGAGTGGGTTTGGTTTGCTGAATTCGGGTTTGTTGTGCAATCAGGAAAATGAGTTTTGAGAAGTAATTCTAATGTCTATCCAGTTTTAGTGCATTCCCCTGTTTGGGTTTTTAAAGTCCCCACAGGGTTTATTGGATCTTTTGCTAGAATGCGGTGGTCTGCATCCTTCAGTTGTATTTTCAATTTCCTGACAGAATTTTTCCTTTAAGAGTTTTGTTAAACTCTGTATTTTGGTGTATTCCCCCCACTCATTCGTCTTTTTCGCCTTATTAAAAAGTTAACGTGTTTTCCTTCTGATTTTGGTGAGTTCGGTTTTCCACCAGCTCACTTCCCTAGAAATTTTCCTGTTCTTTAACGAACGTAGTTGTTCTGCAACTTCATCTATATCATTTTTAGTATTAAGAGAAAACCGAACACCTCGAAAATTTGTAAATCATTCTGAGCCTTTATTTTTAATCCGATTTTTGTAAAATTTTCAGGAAATACCAATAATAACAAAACTTAGGGTGGCGAAACCTTGAATTTTTTGTAAACCTTTGAAAAGTATTAATTTTGAAAATTTTTAAAAGGAATTTCAAAAAAAAACTTTTAACGCGAAATCCAGTCCTTTTGGGTGTTTTAATAGTGATGTCACAGATGCAAAATGCAACGTCCGCAAAATAGAAAAAATAATATAAAGAATTCATTCCATAATATTATTATTTACTATTGAGTTAATAACTTTTTAAATCTAAATTGTGATATATAATCTATAAATATTTTCCATTAGGACTAGCTTTTCCAGATCCCTGTATTACAAATAATTTACCTTTTCAGTGAAGTTAAAATATACAAATCATTTTATTTAAAATATTAATAATTTATTTTAAGACAAACAAAAATAAGTTATCAATAATGTTCCATATGAGATTACCGAAATTATTTGTAGAGTAATCCGTAACTGTAGCATGAAATTATTGGATAAAACCCATTTTATTGAATTTTAAATTAAAGCAGTCGCACCAAAACTCATTTTAAAATATACGTTTACAATTTAAAAACTTACATGGCAATCTCATGAATTAAAAATGATATCAGAAAAGTAAAACTAATAAAACAATTTGCACTCTTGGGCTAGAAACATTTAATTCAGATAATGCCACCCATCTTCTTTTTAAATGTAAGTTCCCTCTTTCATATATTAGAAACGGTTTTAACCATTTTCTGATATCTTTAGTAATAATAATTTGTTTATTTGCAAAAAGTATACACAATAATCATGACCTACATATAAAAATACAAAGTCAAAGACTGTCCGTGGTTTAGATAGTGAAAAGAATAACCATTGTGTATACAATGGTATAACTTTAAAATTAAATCAACAAGAGTAATATTAATAATAAAAATAACGATAAGTCATATAAGATATATCCATATAAGTTTTTGAATTGTCACTCCATATATTAAAAACCAATCTTTTCATATAAAATGTTTACATAAGTAGTGGTAAAAGAACGATAAAAGCAACAATATAATTATTTTTATCGCCACCCATCAATAAAGCCATGTATTACCATGGCGATTTGCAAGAGTAAACAAACACTATCTCACTGTAAAAATCAAATATTTTATATGCCGTTAAGATTTATCAACATAGCCATGACCGTCTAACAGAAATAGTCTGTAACTGATTTGTTTTGTATTCGCTGTTATTTTTCTCTTTGTTTACTTTGCCATAATAAAATGTGATGCTATAATATCGCCTTTTTTATTAATTATAATTATTTAGGGTTGGCGATAAAAGTTTGTATGGGCCACGTCAGCAAAATGTCTATCGAATTCGCTTCTCTCGCTCGGCTCATAATCTCTGACTAGTACGATAAAGAATCACTTTCCTGACTTGCTATATAAATATTAATAAATATACGCTTCGGTAATGTTTTGCCTTTTTTGAGACACCATGTATATGCGCTATTAGAAAAGGTGTTTTTCTGTGAGACACTCGTGTTTTTATTTATTTATTTATGAATTACGATTGTAATTTTTTACACACCAAATATTTCTATTTTAAAATTGATTATAATTCAGAATAAAAGGGTATTTTTATTCATAATTACCATTATAATCTGTGATTAAAAAATTATTGTATATATTTAATCAGCTTTTAAATTGAAACTGAATAAATTTTAAAAAATACAGGGTGTTCCAGATATTTACTATATTGTGCTTGTTTTTAGTTTAAACCAAAAATGCATTGAAATCGATGGATAGTAGATGTTTATAAAAATAATTGGTGTGGAAGATGTTGACTGCTTTACAAAATTCTCTAGTCTATTTAATGTTTCAAAAAGAACTACTCTGTATATAGAAAAAAATAAATAAAACTATTCCTCCCTGAATAAGATTTCAAATGGTTGAAGTCGTTTAAAAACAATTTAATTCTATTAATGTATTGAAGAATAATGGATGTCCTAATAAAATGGATTATACAGAATAATCCAAAGTTACAATTAATTATACCGTTGTAAGAAAAATTATAAGTTTCATTATCTCTGAAAAACTTATTATTTGCCATTTTAGGAGTACTTTAATCAATTTTTTATTAGTTTCAATTTTAGCTGTTGTGGGTAAAAGTAGTTCTAGAATTTGTTCTTTTTGTTATCGCTCAGAAACAACTGGTTACCATGGTGTATTAGAAAATATAGATATAAAATACTGTCATATATGACATTGAAACTTGATAATAAAATTTGAATAAGGATAATTTCCTGACCGTAGTAGAATTTTATATAGATAAAAATTTCCTTGGTTTATTCTGTCAATAGTTTTTATTTTTTATAATTTAAGCACTACATGTTTCGGATTTTTCCATCTGGTGCAGACAATATATATTTATAAAAATATGGGGGACGAATACAAACAGTTTAAATTTTTAAAATAATGGAGACCCCATCTTTCTGTTTCGAAATAATTAAATATTTTGAATACACCTTCACACGCTGTGAAACAGAAAGGTGGGGGACTCTATTATTTAAAAAAAAATTTAAACTGTATTCGTCCCCCATATTTTTATAAATATATTGACTGCACCAGAAGATGGAACAATCCGAAACATTAGTGCTTAAATTATAAAAAATAAAAACTACTGACCCAATAAACCAAGGAACTTTTTATTTATTGAAAATAAAAGCTTTTATTGCCAATCGTCAATTATTAGGCATTCCAATGACCTGTCAAACAATAGCTGCCAGTGGGAAGGACTCTTATATCTAAGGGGATTGCGACATAGCCCTCCATCTTGGACGGTCTTTTTATTTGAAATAATAATCGCCAAGCCTGCCCATTTATGAAAAATGTATAATCGTTTTTTTTTTTAATATTTAAAATTAATTATTCCTGATTTCACGTATTGTAGATAGAACACACATTGCAACCCTTTAGACTTACCAAACCTTTCCGCTGACAGTTATTTTGTATTGAATGCCGAATAGAGCCAAGCATTACCATAGCGATTTTCGGAATTAAACAGGCATGTAGTCTCTACACGTTACGATTTTTGTGAGATTTGGACTGTACAGTCCATCGATTTAGTTCATAGTTCAAGGTGAAGTACTCGATCTGACTCACATCTGGCCTCTCCTCTTTTATCTAATATGGAGATGAAGAGTGAAATGAGTTGTATCTTACTTTTAGATCAGAACTGTGAGTTTTGGCCTGTAGGCCATATCGGAGCGTCAGGGCCTCCATTACTGTTAAAATCAAAAACTTTACCTATCGCTAAAATTTAGCAACATGTGACGTTAAACAGAAATCGTTTGTCACGGTCACGGTTCCAACAGTAAAAATTTTGTCGTGAATTATTTATAGAAAATAATGGAAGATATTCAGTGCACACCACCTAAAATTTAGAAAGGTATTTCGAAAAAGTCTACCACAAAAATCACCATGGTGAAAGCAACCTTTTCAGCACAAAAATGACGTTGATATTAGTACATACAAAAAACTTAGTTTTTTTAAAACAAAAAAGAAAAAAAAATGGGGTGTTATGAGTCGCATGTTATTAGTCACACTTCCAGGATATATGCACTTCCAAAGCTACAGAGAAAATCAGAGCGTAGGAGGTGTATTAATATAGATATGCGAAACAGCATACATGGGATCCAAATTAGCCTTAGTGAAAATTTTATTGCTACGAAGATTATGTCAGTATGGGTGAGATCAAGATCGGTAGATCAAACATGCTTCTGTCATGTAATTACCGTCCTGGGCTTGTTGGAATGAAAGAAAATACACATTTGAAGAAACAAACGTTATATTTGGAGATTTTAACTATCGAGAAATAGACTGGGCAACTCTTAACACTAACTGAAAGCAACATAGAAGTGAGAGATTTATGAAGTCATACACAGAGTCCAGTTTCAAACAACTTTTCCCTACTAGAGTGCGCAACTATCAGGAATCCACGCCCAGCTCACTATTAGTCAATGAAAAAAAGTAATAACTAACATCCATTAACTCTTAATCGCCTTTTGTTTTGAGTGATCATGTAGTCATTAAGGCAGTTACACAACTTAATATTTGTTCCAACACAATAGTAAATCGGTTTACGTACTGTCGGGATTCTGCGCAGTCTAGATTTGGTGTTCCAACAAACTTCGGACTCAACATGTACAAAAACATAGTAATCCAACACACCCAAACCTAATCGCAAATTAGTTTTTGTACTGTCAAATCAGTTCCTGGGTCTGAATATAAACGAATTGTCAAGACATGCGCAAAACTAAAGTAAGCTCGTAAATAAACCACGACCAATTTGGAAATTTCGAGATTATATTTGGTGTGATAGTATTGATCGTAGTCTCGATACAAGGATTATTTACTATTATCCATGGTAATTTTTTGGCTTTCATTCATTATTATTATTATTATTATTATTTACAGTCTATTATTTGATACGTGTATCTGTTGAATTATAAATAATGAGTGAAGAAGGTGAAAAGGACTATTATTCTGACTTAAATATAGTAAAAAATTAAAATAAATAAAGTTTAATGTACAGACCAAACGAATTATCAAAATGTATTAATCTTCTAATGAGTTTAATAGTTTATTGTTTTATTTCCCAAATTCAAAATGTAACATTTTTTTTTAAATTTGTTTTAACTTTTAAGTTATTGACAGAGTGTGTCTGGCAACAGAAAAATGTGTTCCAACACCAAGTTCCAAATTTAATCCCAATTTTCGACAGGTCGTAGACTATCAGTCGTCGACAATAAGTTGTGGACTGGTTTGTGCATGGTTCAAAGATTGTTGTTGGAACAAATCTCTAATATCCAAACCGGATCCACAAACATACTGCACAAAGTAATAAATGACAATATTCCACTAGAAGTAATAAATAAAAACCCTGGATCAATCGAACCAACTTTAGAGAAATTAATAAAAACGGAACTATGGCACAAGTACAGGTCGACAAGAGCTGAGGAAGATTGTGCTGCATATATAAATCAGAATAATAAACTTAAAAATGTATTGGCTGTATCTAGAAAAGATTATGAACATAAACTCTTACAAAGTGGCGAAAAGAAATTTTACTCCTATGTGAAAAGAATCCTGAATACAAACAGCACTCGGATCACTCTAAGAAACCCAACGACAAATTTAGCAATCACAAAACCAGCTGAAATAACGGAAAGATTTGCAGAACGGTTCAGTGAAGCTTATACAACAGAACCTGATAAAGAATCACCGCAAATAACTGCAACAGAAAGAGTTGAGAAGAGCATAGTAAATATAGAATTTACCCCAGAAAAAGTGAAATTTGCAATAGATAGTCTTAAACAAGATTTAACTCCTGGAATAGATGAAAGTCCACCCATTTTTCTTAAAAAATGTTCTAATAGCCTTTTTAATCTCCTCGCGACAGTTATGAACAACTCTATGCAAAAACAAGCACTGCCAATGGACTGGAAACAGGCTATAGTCACTCCTATATAAGAAAGGCGACAAAAAGAATCCCATAAACTACCGTCCAGTCAGTCTTACAAGATCTCTTGTTTATTAGTACCATTTATGTATTTTTTATATTGTATATTTTGAATATTGTTATTTTTACTAATAAACTTATTATAGCTGTATCGGTAAAGCAATGGAAAATATTATCACAAAAGAAGTAACCGATTTTATGATGCAACACAGTTTTACCCCCAAAAGATCTGGTGTTACAAATCTTCTAAGTGCCGTTAATCAGTGGACAGTTTGGAACGACAACAACCAGACAATTGATGTGATATATCTTGATTATGAGAAAGCTTTTGTTAAAGTTCCACATAGACGGCTGATTAGCAAACTAGAATAAGAGGCAATCTATTATTGTCTTTTATGCAGACGACGGAAAGATCTACTGCAAGCCACTGGAAAGCTTTTCACAAAAAGAAACAAGACTTGAATAAAATAGGAATCTGGTCCCAGCAATGGCTACTATACAATATTGCACATTGGCCCACATAAACCCCACACACAGTACACCATAGATACAAATGCAATAACTCCAGACGAAACACAAAAGGATCTTGGTGTAATCATATCTAGAGACTTAAAATGGGAAACCCACATTGGTATATAGTGAAGAAAGTCAACAGTCTCATATACCTTATCAAAAGAGCTTTTAAAGACCATTTCGAAGACATGATCCTGAAACTGTAAACAACTTACATAAGACCAAAGATAGAATTTGCACAGACCGTTTGGGACCCATACTTTGTTAAAGACATTGAACTGCTGGAAAGTACAATGAAGAATCACCAAAATACCACCAACCCTACAAAACAATGAGTATTGTGATCGGTTAGCCAAACTACAACTTCTGAAGTTTAAAGGATTGAAGCACTAGACTTGATAGAAACTCACAAGTGGACCAGCGGATATTACACCTGTGATAACATCTTCCAGGCCAGCACATCAAGAACTTTGAGAGGTCACTCAAAGAAATTAGATAAAGAAAAGTGTAATAAACTGCAAAGAAAAAAATTCATTACAAACAGAACGTATATCTGTGGAATGGTCTCCAGAAACAAGAGAGGTCACTCGAAGAAATTAGATAAAGAAAAGTGTAATAAATTGCATAGAAAGAAATTAATTACAAACAGAACGTATATCTGTGGAATGGTCTCCAGGAACATACAGTCTCAGCCCAGAACATAAACCAGTTCAAGCCGAAAGTGGATAAGGAACTCAAAGAAGGAAGAAATAATGTTATTCATTATAGTTTATAGTATATTAAGTTTTAACTGTCATGTAGTAATTTAGAATAATTTTTGTCGCTAACTAAAAGAGCAGCTTCATCGACTATGTCGCTTGCCTGTTATTAACAATAATAATATCTCTATTTTTAAATTATAATTTTTTACGGTTGGCAATAAAAGTTTTTATGCACCATGTCAGTAAAGTGTCTTTATCGAACTCACCTGTTGTATATGCCTCTCATACTAGTTCCGATGACGAATTACTTTGCAGACTTGATACATATGAAATAAACTTCTTAGTGCTATAAATTTGTTTTTATTCTGTATTACTCCTATTTTAAATTGTAAGTTTAAGTTGCATTAAATACTCAGTATGTGAGTAATACAAAAACTAATGTGGAACCACTAAATTGCTGGCAGTATGAAAAATTTAATATCTTCATGTTGACTTTCATATGTATTGCCATCGTCAATAATAATATAATAGTGTTCCCAATTTGACATTTGTCCATTCTTTATGTCAAGTAGTAATTTTAGACTAAATCATTTATTTAAACATGTACATTATATAGTTACTTTTGGATGTTTCTAAAAAAGGTGCCCCGTTGTTAGGTTATGTAGAATAAGTGGAGTTAGGTTAGTAAAAATTGTAACGGCATCCGTATTCGAGATACAAGGTGTTCAAATTTCAATATTTTTTTTGTAATTTATAAACACATGCAGACACAAGTTCAAATAGGTACTGTCAAAATTAATTAAAACAAGAAAAAATTAGACATTCCAAACAAGAGGACTGTCAGTGAGAAGGGTTTCTAAGGGGTTGCCGATATAGGATGTATTCTATTTACAATACATGATTAATGGATTACATTTAAATAATTTATGTCGAACACAATGAAAATATTAAAAAAACATTTTTCATTATTTGATAGGCTTGGCGACTACTATTTCGAATAAAAATAGCGTTCAAGATGCAAGACTATGTCGCAACCCCCTTAGATATACGAGCCCTTCTCACTGGCAGCTATTGTTTGATAGGTCATTGGAATGCCTAATTATTCACATTAAAGCCAGAGCCTACTAGACCATTTTATAAATTTAACTTTTATTTAGCAATTTATGCAGATATAAAAAAGCTACAAGAGACCAAAAAGTTCTAAACGAAATAAAATTCATTTTATATTCTACCAGTGACGCATCACAGGGGAAGAAAAGGCGGCATAACCCCTGAAAAAATATCGTGTAGATTTTCACAACCATTTGACATGCCTAATGATGTTGTAAACCCTATAGCATAACCTAGATTCCAAATTTGAGCTAAATAGAGAGTTATTGCAAGTTCACTTAAGGTCAGTCACTATTAGTGCCGCTCTTATTTTGACATTTGAGCATGCGCAGATCACTTACATTCTAGAACTGACTTTAATAAATATTGTACTTGTCCTTAATTGTGGATGTTTAAGGACAGCGGTTAGTGGCGACTTTATAGTTTTCGGGTGCGCTTGTATCAGTTCGAAATATTTAAATATTTAATATCATCGTTATCTAAACCTTCTAAAATGGTAATTTCCAATGCCTTTTTCATATTATGTACTATTATAAACAACAAAAAAGATGAACTATAATTTAAAATTAGGTTTGAAATATATATAAGGACAATGACTCTAATGTAAAAATTTCAGGTTTGCAATAAGTCTTATTTTAGCATGGAATTTATTTACCTCTAATTACGTTGTCACTATTAGTGGCCGACGTTATAGAAATTTACAATAACTCTCTAATATCTCAAAAATTGCAGGATGTATAAATAAAAAACAAAAAATCTTGACATTTCAACTAGTGCTGGCAAAAACCGAAAAAAATCAAAACCGCTTAATCGGTTTCTAATAAAACCGGTTTCGGTTATAACCGGTTAACCGGTTTTGGAAACTAAAAATCGGATTCGGTTTCGAAAACCGAAAATCGGTTTTAAAAACCGAAAATCGATTTTAAAAACCGAAAATCGGTTTTAAAAACCGAAAATTGATTTTAAAAACCGAAAATCGGTTTTAAAAACCGAAAATCGGTTTTAAAAACCGAAAACCGGTTAATCGGTTTCAGTCAAAACCGCGGTTAACCGAAAACCGGTTAACCGAAAAATCGGTTTTCGGTTTCAGTCAAAACCGCGGTTAACCGAAAACCGGTTAACCGAAAAATCGGTTTCGGTTGCCAGCACTAATTTCAACACCCTGTATCTCGAATACGGATGCACTTTTTTATTAACCTGACCCTACTTATTTTTTAACACTTTACCTAACCTAAAAACGGAACCATCTTTTTTTGAAACACCCTGTATATATCTTAATTTTTACCCTTCATTATATCTTGTATTTCTAGAGATAGTAAAACTCCTAATTATTTATTTAACGGTCTTGGATACCTGGATCTACAACAAGATATACATTTATTTGGTATTATTGAATGTTATTTATCTTTGAATGTTAATTTTATGGTGTAAGGTCATTGTACAGAGGAGGTAACTGCATAGGTAAAAAGGCAATATAGACAATTCTCTAATAGACTTACTTCCTCTGTACTGTAATGTGTCTTATAGTATTTTAGCTTATAATTACTAAACTTGAAACTTTTACAATTGGTCTGATATTGTACATGGAAGAGGGACATAATACTTTCTAGATCAAATTGATAAAATTTCAATCCACTTGTTTTTTGTATTCAATATTTAGATTACAACTTAATATTAATTTAATTAGTTGTTTGTAATTAGCTTGAATGAGACTGAAATCTGGATTATTACATTTTTATTTTATGTATTACTTATAATTAGTTTAAAATAAACCCTTGTAGATCTTTGTAAATATTTTAATTTAATAGAGTGGAAATTGTAAATTATATTAAAACCATGTATTTCTAAAATGCATACAAATGGAAATTTCAATAATGAATATTGTATTTTTTTTAACTTTATTTAAATAAAGCAACATCTAAAAATATTACTGTAGAGCCGGAATGGCTTTTTTATTTTTCATTTTTATCTCAGTAGTCCTTACTATGATAATAAGTCTCGACTAAGACAAAAACCTTCACTCCTATTTTTTAAGACTACCGATATATTCCAGAAGAATACTTTTTGTAATGGAAACAAAGTACCATGTAGGGAACTTACTCAGATTGAATATAAAAAAATCAGACCAAAAAGAATCTTTGGATAGAAAATGATGGGAGAAGAAGCAGAATTCGATAGAAAAGCATTGTAGTCCTTAAGGAAATCCAGTTCAAAGGACCATGTGACTGACTAGCACCTTAGAGATCAATTGCCTCTCTATATATTTTATCTTGCTCAAATTTTGTAGGAATCATTTTAATTGATTTTATGTCTTTACAATTAACATTAAGTAATAATTATAAAACTCGGACTGGTTCAGCTAATAGAGAAAGGTTCAGAAGAACTAACAACCAGAGGTTTTAATGTTTTTCTTCTAAATTTCAATTAATCTAACCTAGTCAACCTACATAATTCATAAATTCCCCTTAACATTCCTATACAATTTAAACTCAATTGTTTATAAAATACTATAAAAATATATCTTTAACAGACAAATAATTTTCCCTTTTTTAATTAACAAATTATTTACTGGACCAGTGAAGAATTGTTTGTCTAATTTTCTTTCACTTTTCTTATTCAATTTAAAAATTAATAAAATTCAATATTACCTATTTACTTAGATAATGTAAATTATTTATTCTGGAGATATACAGTAAAAAATCAAATTCTCTTTACACAAAAAAATTATGTAGGCAGTCAAATTTTAGTTATTCAATTATAATAAAACTTCTTTTTATCTTCATTTTTTATATGCTGTTAAAGAACATTCCATACTTCTTCAAAAGCTGAACAAAGTTTTGTACATGTTAATGCAGCTGATAAAGGATAATTACTAATGGAAACATTGTCTTCTACGTAATCTACATTAACACTTCCACGTGCTAAAGCTCCAATTACAAAAGCAATAGGCTCCTCTTCTTTAGGCACTAATTCTCGACAATTTTTTACTTCTTTTGCTGCAAAGGATGTACCAACCTTCTTTACACCAACTGGTAAATGATCTGTTATAGGATTTTTTATAACTTTGAGCAATTTAGGGCCATCTTCAGCTCGAACAGAAAACTTGTGTAGCAATTGAACTAAAAATTAACAATATTATACAAATTTCTAGAATTTATATTATCTAATTACCCATGAGGCCCGCAAACCGTTTGAATGTTCTTGGGACCCTAGTTTGTGGATTGATTTCTATCAATATATTATTTGCTGTGTGTATATAAACTTGTAGAAGCCCGGCCCTATTTAAAGGGCTATCAAATAACATCAACAGGCATTGATGGGTTATATCTGGCCTACATGATCCCACGTCTCGATTGTTACTCTTTAAAATGTGAGTGTGATCGTCACAATTTAGTAGTTCAAACTTATTTCCTACCTAAAAAAAAAAAATTATATAATTTATAGCCCATTGAATTGTTTTAAAAATAAATATTTTATATATATTGCTACTTAAAAAAATAAACACTTTTGAAACAGTTTAATTCTGTTTTGAATAAAGATGTGGTGATAATTTTGGCCTAAAAGGAAATATCAATGTTTTTTATCATGACAAGACACTTCTATGTTGGTTTAATTTTGAGCTGGACATCATTGGATATTTTTAATAATTTTGTAGAAACATCTAATTTTTGAAGTTATTTCCTTTTTGAACTGAGGTAGCGATATGATTACTTTATTTTAATAATTTTAAATAGATATTTCTAGATTAAAATGATCTCAATAAATCAATTATACCTTTACAGTTTCAAGCTGAGCCCCTTCTAAGATAATAATAAGACGTTTCTCTTGATTTTTTAGGTGTGCTATAACTAAGTGCTTAGGTAACGGATCAAATTCGAATTGGTCATCTTTAGATTCTTTTAATTTTCGTTTTTTGCCCATATTTATTATACGCACGTTTGAATAAAAATAAACAATATAACCTAAAATGATCTGTCGCTGCCAAATTTGTATATACACGTGGTCACGGTGGACAATTGCTCTGATCTCATTTATAAACAGAACTCAGCTGAGTCGGATTTGGGTGAGTCGTCCTTGAACGAAAATCGAAATTCGGTTATATCGCGTGAATTTAGAGATGGGTAGTAACAAATTCGTAAATGTACTTAACAGTTACAGATTTGCTAATATCCATCTCTAAATTCCAGTGTAACACCGGAACTACCTGGAACTTTAGAGGCGTTGTAACCGAACTTCAATTTTAGTTCAAGCTGAGTTCTGTTTATAAATATGGACCTTGTCCGATGTGGATAAGGGATAAACAAACGCTCGAGATGTAAAAAATGCATCGGATGTGGATATCTATGGTTTGATGTCGCGTTAGGACCAATGAACTGCAGTGGGGTAGAATCATAGATATGAGAGGAGGGGAGATAGGAACTGTCATTTCAGAAAACGTTTACACAAGGAGAACCTGCCGGGGAGGCGGAGAGTCTGCGCAGTTGAGTGTTTCCAGGATTGTACTCAGTTTTTTTTATTAATTCAATAAAAATATACATATAATTAAATGTAAATTACGAATACTTTTTTAATAAGAGGAATACACAATTAAACAAGATTGTGTATTAGTTGAGATAATTTAAGTATAGCTAGTGCGGCCAGGGACGTCTAATTATTTGCGTTGGCGTTAAGGGGCAACTATACATACATTTATATTATTCTCTTTAGATTATCTTCCGATGAGATGAGACAGGTTACAAAATTAGTTTTATATTAATAAATAACTAAATTTCATAAGGTTAGCTGAATACAACATAGGCATTCAAAAAAACATTCATCATATCATAGATAAACGAAATACAATGCTCACATATAGGTACGTAAAAATTGATTGAAATATTAAAAATTATTTATAAATTCATCTAACGAGTAGTCTTTAAATTTTTGTATTAATTTTTTTCTTTATGAGTGTTTATGTAACAAGTGATATACATACAGGGTGACACCGAAAACTTCCCAAATTAAATATCTTTCTTCCATTAAATACCCAGACAACACACCAAATCCCAGAGATATCCACAGAACATATTTTGTGGATATCCAATATATCCACAGGATATCAGAAATATTCCGTGGAACTAATATGGATATCCAAATGTCCGTCTATATCCAGAATATAGAAGATATCCTATGGATATTCAGCAAAATATCTAATGAGTATCTCCAGACAATACAAGAAATCCCAGATATATCCATAGAATATATTTTGTGGATATCCAACCAAATGTCCGTCTATATCCCAGGATATAGAAATTCAGATAAATATTTTATAATTATTTTTAGTAGAGGTTCCTAAGTAACCATCGTTATTGAATAACGTCGAAAGAAAATAGAGGTAAAAAATATTCCCAACAATCTGCCTTTGATTTTGCCTATTAAGGAGAAAATCATCCTTATTAGGAATCTTCAGCATTAAATGGAACTTCTCGACTTCAGTCTCTAATGAAATCTGTTTATGAAACAATGTCGATCAAACTCAATTACGGCGGGTTAAGCATGAGTAGATACGAAAGTGGTATCGCCATCTATACTTAGGAAGCAAAATCAAAAATTACATCTAGTAGATATCCACGATGGTTTGCGTCCGCGCTTAGACTTTGATATATTTATATTTATAGTGGATGTCCATGGGATATTGAATACACCTTAAAAAAATTAATTTTAAATATCTCAACGATACTATTAGCCACATTGGCTAGTACAATGGCGTAATTTTTTAATAATTTGCTATATAATTACAATTATTTATGGACATTTGCATGTCTATAAATTACATTTCATGGATATAAAATAGATATCCACCATGGACTGGACATTCAGTGGATATTGGGATGTTCAGTAGATATCCAAAGGATTTGGTGTGCTGTCTGGGTAATGTGAAAAATCGCCAAAACCCGTCAATTTTATTTTCAAGGAGGACACCTACAATAAATACTTTTAACACTCATCGTGGCTCAACCTCCTAGAAGGGGTAGTTGTTACCCTTAAATCTTAAATGGGAAAAGGGGTCAAGACGCACATCATTTTAAAGGGCGTTTAATTATCTTCCCAATGGTACCCTAATTTATTAAACAAAAATTATTCTATCAAGTTAAATAACAGGAGGAATATCAAGTCTACATGTTTAACTTTTTATTTTTTTGGTAAGGTGACTTTTACAAAATAAATAACTTTTAATTTGCACAAGAAATTTTAAAAATAGAACACATAAGATCTACTTGTACACTATTTTAAAAACTTTTCAAAATGTTGTCCATTGTACTGTAAACAGTAAAAAGTCTGTTTCCCAACTCCTCTCTAACATTTCGGAAAACTTTTACCGGAAATTGACCGGCATGCTTGTGTAATTCTCCTTTTAAGATCATCAATATCAGCTGGTTGTGTTTCATAAACAACGAATTTAAGGTGTCACCAAAGAAAAAATTCTAAAGGAGTTAAATCAGGTGATCTTGGGGGCCATTCAATTGCTCCCCTTCTGTTAATCAAAGGACCTGGAAATCTCTGTCAGACGAGAAGAAAAAATGAGGTGTAGCAGCGTCCTGCTGGAAATGTAACACATCTCCTGTAAAACTAAATTACCTTCTGCATCAGTTTGTTTCTAGCTCCTGAGTTTATAAGAGGATCAATAATCTCTGCAAGCATATTAAGGGACAGATCGCCTGGCAAGTTTCCTTCATTAAATAAAGAACCAATAATTGCGTATGCCCTTCTTGAATAATATACCTGGTGTTCATTGCTCCAGTACCAACATTTGTGTTTATTACATTGCCATTTAGAAAAAAATATAAAATAAAATGTCATCACTGAAACAGATATTCAGCAGAAGATTGGGGTTGGCGTTAACTTGATCAGACATGGTTTTACAAAACTCTATTCTTTTTTCAAAATCATCTTCGTAGAGCTCTTGAAGTAACTGCATTTTACAGGAATGAAATTTATGCATTTTCAGTGCTCTTCTTACAGTCTCGCGTGATATTCCCATCTGTTCTGCTACTATTCGTATGGAGCTAGTTGACACGGTAACAAATGTTCCCAAAACCTCAATTAGAGCTTCTTCATTTAGTACTCGTCGGTTCTTTTCCTATTTTTCACCGAACCAGTTTCCAAAAATTTTGCTACCAAATCGAGAGTATAAATATGACTTACATTACAATTAGGATGCCTTTCATTTAAATGCTGCCCTTCGTGCGCATTTTCCAACCTCTTCATAAAGGATAATTATTTCGATTCTTTCCTGTAGAGAGTAAACCATTTTTGCTATAGAATTACAACCATTGTTATCTCCTGATCACAAATGAATACCAGATGCTTACCGTTTCCACTATCGAGTCGAATATTGTAGACAACGAGTGAAATATTTATTAAATTATACCTATCAAAACTTAATCTTGGAAATAAAGGCAAATTTAAGTTTAGGCTGGGGACCAATGAAGAAAACAAAACTAGGTACTTATTTGAACTATTTCTTTTATTTGAAAATCTTGCAAGCTTCTACAGAATACAAAAATATTTAACAAACATTGCAAGTATTTCAATAATAGTTTAGTATCAGGTGTAAAAGTTATTAAAAAATAAATGAGACACTTAATTCAAAGAAAATTACCTAACATTTGAAAATCCTTGAAAAAAAACATATATTGCAAGCAGTTATTTTAATAATAGTATTAGGGGTACAAATTATAAGAATTGAATAACATTTTGTTCAAATACAATCTTCAGGACATTAACAAATACAAAGAATATATAACATTTAATTCAAAGAAAACTACTTATTATTAAAATATCTTTAGGATACTAGACAGGTACGGACTTTTTAACACAGAAGGTATATCTTACAATGAGTTTAACAAAGTTTAATAGGAACATGCAGGTAACAAAGGGAGACCACTGTCAGAAAGCATCGATATGGGTCCAACTTATGTTCTTTTCACTACATACATCGACACAAATTTAGATGCTACGAGTGACAGGAGTCTCTGCCTGATATTCGCAGGTTCCTAATTCAAATTGTTTTATTGTTGAAAAATACATCGTATTGACAAAGACAGAAAACAAATATATACATATTTAAAAAATTGTGTACATACTAATATAAATGTATATTGTACCCAGATACAAACAACCGATTGCAACAATATTCATTAAAATTTATAGGTACGACAAACTTTGACAGAGTTTGAGAATGTGATTTGTCTTAATGACATGAACATCAAATTACGTTCAGTCTAATAAAATTATACGATCATTAGATATTGAAAGATATATATGTGTTCTTCCAACTGGGTGTCAATTACAATATAGAATTACAAAATATATAAAAATATAATTATTTGTATGAATTGTATTAAATTTAAAACTGGCTGATTGGCTAAGGATCTATATATATTTTTTATTATAATTTATAGATACTGTAAAATAGAAGGTTAGATTTTTTATTTAAAATTGTACAATATTTATTGTATTATCTAAATTGGGCTTTTTTTCTTTATTTTGGACATATCGAGAGCCACAATGCAGGACCTCGTAACTAACATTGCCACTGAAAATTATATTTTATGATAATCTCGTTTAAAAGATTCCACTCCATCTACTGTATAAATGAAGTATGTATTAAAATTTTTGAACAAAATATGGTTAAATTTTAGTCCCATTATAGAGTAAAATGGATTGTTCTATGCACTTGTGAATCTTTTTTTTTTTATCTCTTGAAAAATTTTGATTTTGCGACTTACGAGGTCTAGCCTTGTTGCCTTCGATATGTTGTTTACAGTCGTCAAAAGTAATTGTAAAATATATAAAAATATTAAGGTATAAATAAGTAAATTACATACAACTTAATTATATTATTTTTGAAAGAACTCTCGATCATTGCCTGATTAGAAATACGTCTTGTATTAGAAAAGTATTACATTTTTTTAACTATTATGCTTTATAAATTTTTTTATTGAGATAGAATATACATTGGTCTACTTATTATAAGGTATA